AAACTCTTCATTTGAAACTGGTGTTAATGCAGATGATCTGAAAATTAAATTTATTATTTTTTAAAAAAATTTATTTATTGAATCAAAATCAATTATACATATATTTGGGGCTGAACATTGAGATATGTTGATAAAATCAATATTACTGCATATGTATTGTTACAAATCATAATTATTCTTTATGCCCCTTGTGAATCTTTCCCCTTCTCGGGCTCCTTCCCCCCCCCCCTCTAATTACCCTAGATTTCTTTTCTCCTTCTGAAACAATAATGGTTACTCTGTTACTGTTGCATAGATGATCTGTCCAATGCTCAGAAGTGTGATCAGGTCCCCCAGTATCATCGTAGAGCAGATGCTTCTTCTGTCACTCTGAAATGGGCTGAACTTAGAGACAAACTGTCTGAAGCTTAATACTTTGTGGCTATTCAGTAGTTTAAAACAAAATTGCTTTTTCAATTTTCTGTATCATGAAGCCTTTAAATCAAAATTAAATATTAGAACTCTGCTACAACAACAGACTTGGGGGTGGTAGGATAACCTTAGTGTATATTCATATAGTATATTTCATACTTAGAATGCTTTCACACATTTTGTGTTATCTAGAGAACCACAGCCACCTCTAATAATACAGTATGTCTTACTAGGTACAGGGGGAGAAAGATATGAACTGTATTATGAGAAAATCAGGAAGTAATAAAGTGGTTCAGTAAAAATTTCTCATGTAGTGAAATGATGAAAAAATATTTAGTAATGTTCTAGACCACGCTTCTCAAGGTGTGATGCATGCTCTGCTGAAGCTATGCTAGGTGGTCATGGGCAGTGCACTGGCAGACATTCTATTTTAAGACTTATGTTTTTATTTTTAGGGTTACTTTCTGTTTACATCAAGTGATACTGGTTTGCACTTATAAAAGTGATATAAAGTTTTCCTTATAAACTTACTTAAAATTTTAAAAGTGAGTTATTTTAAAGGGCAAATAATAAGAAACAGCATAGAGTAGTATGCCAATGACTAAAGTTTGCACTTAGAGACAACTACTGAGTAACCAAAGTTAATAACTATCAGAGTTGATAACTACAATAGCTAGATAAAGGGCAGGGTTTTTAACACCCAAAGGTGCTCTCTCTTCTGTGTCCTCTCACTGCATCATTTCCCCAGCTCGCCCTGGAAGACACCTTTAACCTGAGTGAATGGACAAGCTTTGAGCTTTTTTGATGGGTGCCAAGTCCCTGTGCAAAGAATAGAGCACCGTGGGCCGTGGGAATGGGGGAAGGGTGAGGGAAAAGGGTGCCCACCATTGCTTTTTTTCTGAAGCTTCTCCCTGGCACATTCTCTCTAGAGTTGCTAGCATAGTGGTAGAGCTCCCCCTACACCTGATGTCAATCAGCTGCATTCTCCTCAGACACTGCTCTCTGTGGGAGGTGTCTTGGTAAAAGGAAGAGGACAGTGGGAAGAGTTGATCCACATCGGGGCAGGAGGATGGAAATAGCAAAGAGGCAGTAGGAACTGGGCTTGTGACTGTCCTCCCAGGAGGCCACAACAGTCCCGTAGAATGAGCATAACTGTAAAAAAGCAACACAGGCTGTTATCACACTTCCTACCCTTCACTCACTTTATAGAGGAACCATTCATTTTACAGGACATACAACAAGAAGAAAACCCAGATAGAGCCTAACAGTGCAAAGGCCAGCAAATGCCTGGCATAGGTGCTGCCCGTCCCCCACCGGAAGATAGTAGCAATTAAGTGTGTTGCTTTTCTCTACTAAGCACAGTTGTGGCCTCAGAGCCTTTCCTGTCCAGTGCTCCAGGCAGCTTCTGAATCAACTGGCTTTGGTGTATGGGACAGCTCCTGCTTACCAGCCCTGGCTGACACCGTAGAAAAATGCAACCAAATATGTAAATATCCAAAGTTCAAGGCAGATAGCAATAAACGATTTCATTAAAAATAGGTACATATAGGGGCTGGCCCGGTGGCGCACTGCGCTAGTGCGCCGCTTGGGAAGCGCGGCGGCGCTCCCGCCGAGGGTT